CACCCAGGCTGGAGTGCAATGGTCTCAGCTCACCGCAACCTCTGCCTCCTGGGTTCAGGCAATTCTCCTGCCTCAGCCTCCTGAGTAGCTGGGATTACAGGCACACACCACCATGCCCAGTTAATTTTTTGTATTTGTAGTAGAGACGGGGTTTCACCATGTTGACCAGGATGGTCTCGATCTCTCAACCTCATGATCCACCCGCCTTGGCCTCCCAAAGTGCTGGGATTACAGGCTTGAGCCACTGCGCCCGGCTAGATTTTTGTAACTTCTCCCCATTCCAAATGTCAGGGAGCTGTCAGAAACTGGGCAGAAATAGAGAATGGGCACTTTCTCCTCATGGACAGGAAGTTCTTGCCCCACTCATTATTCTATGAGTAAAGATGAAATCATCATAATCCCTCTAAAGCCGTAGTTATTTGGGTTAATTATCTCAATGGACAGTGAGAATTACCAAAAGGATTAAATTAAATTAAATCCAATTTAACAACTGAAGGAGAGTTTGATGCTACAAGAGCACTAGACAAGGAGCTGAAAACCCAGGTTTTAGACCAAACTTTGCCATTTATTTATTGGATAATTTTAGGTGGGATTCTTCCTCTCTTTGTGTCTAAGTTTCCTGACTTACAAAATGTGGCATTCTGAATAAATTATCTATAAAGATCCCTTGTCTTCTCATAGTCTGTCTTTTGCTTATTTGTAAAGCACCAACCGTGAGCAGGGCAGTGTTTTGGGTCCTGCAGGAGAGGCAAAGGCACATACTGTCACATACTGTAGCGTACACTGTCAGTGTTTTTACAAAGACCTGCCGTTGCATTCAGTTCAAACACAAATGGTTATGTATTAGGCTAACCAATCATTGCCAGAAGGAATTGGCTTTATGTGAATAGAATGTTAGTAATTAGAACATTAATTGTTTAAAATGCAAATGCTTGCTTATAAAGTGTTTAAAAGGACCACTTCTGCTAAATAGGTTGAGCAATCCTCTTGCAATTGCCTTTATCCTTTTCAGTTGTTTAGCTAGTGCTTTTTCATAGAATGTCCCTATAACTATTTATGATTTATGCTCTGTCTCCTCCAAAAAAGGATTTGTGGCAGCTTAAAGCAGAAAACACATACAAACCATGGCAATTAAAATTTTAAAAAGGAAAAATAAAAGGCAACAAAAAGAGATTATAAAAGAAGAGATGGGCTTTCTCCATACCTGGATGAGTTAGTTTCTGTACTTGATTCCAAGGCTGACTGCACTTTCTTTGCTTTCAAAACACAAAGGTAGAGAGGAGGATACAGAGTACAGACATTCCATAAATGCAACGAAGGACTTACTATGTGCATAGTCCTATGAAAAACTGGGATTCCTTCCCTGAAGTACAAATGGAAAGACAGATAATAAACAAACATTTAGGATGCTATGCAATTAGTATACATTTTCAGTGGTCTCCAAATTATTTTGACTAAGTACTTCTACCAGAAAGATATTATGGGAGCGTATTCTTCTAATGTGTATATTTATTTGCATATAAATTATATATTTGAACTACTCTACTAAGATGTTACGTACCTCCTGAAACATACACAAAAGAAATGAATATTTTTGGGAAAAAAATAAACACACATAGTTCTAATAGTTTCTTCCCACATTCCAATGGTGTGGATCTATTTCGATGGAATGGATAAAAGCAGAACATTAATTGTTTAACTGTTAAATAATTGAATGAATAAGTGCTAATAAAGTATTTAATGAGGATGTCTTCTAAGTGGGCAAGCCAATTCATCTGCAATTCCTTTTTCCCATACAGGTTGTTCAGCAAACGACTTAAAAAAAAAAAAAAAAAAAAAGTTTAGATGTATAACAAAGTTGCAAATGTAGTACAAAGAGCTCATATATACCCTTCCCAGCTTTTCCTAATGCTAACCTCTAGCAAATGTCTTTTTAAATAGACTGTTTCTACCTTGAGCTAACCCTGGGATATCTGCACCCTAACACTTTTTTGGGGACAATTAAAAAGCATTAACTTTTTTCCTTATAATCTATTTTTTATATAAACATTTAACTAAAATGTAACATGCATACAGCCAAATGCAAAAATCTTGAGTCCCTCAAGGCCAAGCATAGATCCTTGGGAAGTATGCTCACAGAAGTATCCACTAAAGCCTTTAGTGGACTCTGCTCCCTGTGAACCACTAACGGTGAGGCCATAGCCTAGAAGGTGAAGCTTTAGCTCTCTTGTTCAAGGCGTAACTCCAAAATCTAGAAAAATGTCCTGGAGTGGAGAAAAGGCACTTAATAAAAACTTATTAATTGACTGAATGAGAAACAAAATTTTCTAAGTGTCATAGAAAGTGGAGAGAGACTAAATAATCATTTTTCTGTTACATGTTCAAATGAAAAAGCAGGGCTTTTTAGTCACAGAAGAGGAGCAGAAACCAATTTTTGACATGTTTAAAGAATTACAAATTAGCTGGCACCATAATTCCAACTTATTCCAGTGATTGTTTAGAGTTCTTTATGAATGAGTGCCCTGAGCAGGTGCCTCCCTGGCCTATTCCTTACCCTGGGTTAGGTGCCCATGCAGGTAGCTGTGTGTGTGTGTGGTTTTTTTTTTTTTTTTTTTTTTTTTTTTTTTTTTTTTTTTTTTTTTTTTCTGTCAGAGCTTAGCTCACATGGGAAGGATTCTTTTTGTTCACATTTTACTGGTGCCTGACATTCTGGCAACCTCCCAGGATAGAAATCAAGAGATAGCACCAAGCATAGCAGCAAAGGTAAGTTTAAGTCTTTCCCAGCATGTGCACAAGGGAGCTAGCATTGAGAGAGGAAAAAGGAGTGAGCTGCTTCCCAAGGGTATGGTGTGTGGGGGTTAGTTTTACAGGATCTCTTCATAGGAAAATAATTGCCTCAGGGCATATGTAGAGGAAAGTTTTCTAGTGCTTGTGTAGTGGCTCAACATGCTGCTTCATACATTGTATGTAGCATTAGTATTGTAAATCTCCAGCCCTGGGTGTGAATTTTAGCATTAGAATGAGGAAGAGGTACCTTTAGGTTAGAGTTGAAGTCTAACTGGTGTGTGGAGGTCCAGAGAAATCCCTAGCTGCCTAAAATAAGAGCTTGTAGTTAATAGCTTCTTGGGTCTTTCACTACTGATTGGCTGTGAGTTAGACATGCTAGAGCCTGAGTGAGGGACTTTGATCCTTTTCCTCCAGATTATTTTAAAACAAGGAATCAACCAGCCTGCCCGTCTCCACATTGTTCTCTCTCTCTGAACTTTCAGAGCTTTCCATCTGTACCAAACATCCCATAATTGCATTGTCTTCTAACACCCCTACAGAATCTTGCTTGTGTATTAGGTAAGGCTGTGTTAACTTGGTTTCCTGTGTGCAATGCTTGGCTCACCAACTAGATAGTGAGCTCCTTGAATATAGGCCAGTGTCTTCCCATCTCTGATGTCTTGCAGATATTATCACATGGTGATATCAAGATGCTAGAGTTTCCAACTGTCACGTATTCTGGGAAGGTGCTGCAGTGAGACATCATTAGCTGGTCAGTCAATAACTTTCAGCAGACAGTAACTTTCAGCAGTCAATAACTTTCATGCATTGAGTGCCTACTGTCTGTAAGGCACTGTTCACTGCCCTTGTGTGTGTGTTAGAGGGGGTGGTCAGGGAGGGCCTTTCTGATAAGTGAACCTATGAGCCGAGACCTGAATGAAATAAGAGAATGAGTTATAAGGACAGCTGCAGAAGAGTAGTCAAGGTAGCAAGAATAGCATGTTCTCACTCATAGGCGAGTGCTGAACAACGAGAACACATGGATGCAAGGAGAGAAGCATCACTCATGGGGGGGTTGGGGGGGGCTAAGGGAGGGACAGCGAGGGTGGGGAGAGATAACATGGGGAGAAATGCCGGATGTAGTCAAAGGGGGAATAGAGGCAGGAAACCGGCTGGTTATGTCTGCACCTATGCAACACCCCTGCATGACCTGCACACGTACCCCAGAACCTAAAGTAAAAAAAAAAAAATAGTCAGTGCAAATGCCCTGGGTGAGAAAGTCAGTGCTGGGCTGTTAACACCTTCCCTTGATGGACCTATGAGAACCTTCTTCTCTTTACACTTCAGAGTGGGCGCCAGTGCATTAGGTGAGTCCATTAAACAAGATTTCCAAGCTAACATTTTTGTTAGCTTGTCGTTAGAAAGAACTTCATGGAAAAACTACTTTTTAATGAAGAAAACACATTTTCACTCATGCAGCTGAGACCCACATTCTCCTCTCATATGTTTCACTTCGTTTCTCCCCTACCCCCTTCACTCACACACACTTCACTTGTCTTTATTTTAGAATCAGGCTAAGTGACATTTTGTGAATGTGTTTAACACAACCATGGAGTCAGGGTCAGCATTAACAACTGCTCAAGTGGCCTAGGTTGAATAATGCCAGTGGCCCTGGCTGTTCTCCCCTCCCCCTCCACACAGGTACTCCTGAAGGTCCTGAGATCGCTGCCCTAGATGTGCAGAGCTCACTCCTCTGTGTGACCTATTTAATCTTTTTCAAGATTGCCTGGGCATGTGCTAGACAGAGACACCTAGTGCAGTGGCCTTTCCACTGAATCCTGGGATCCACCAGGTATCACTAGAAGTTTTTCATACTGGATTTTAGATCTCTGTATCTTCAGGCATGATATTCTGTAATCTGGAATAATCTATTCTTTTGAATTACAAAGGAACATGTGGTTTTGGTTTGTTTACTCTTAGGTCATAAAATGATAATTTAGCAGTTAATGAGCAAAGCAAAAGACCTTCTTTTCATGGCCAGGAACTTTTTGGGAGCCTCTGTTTTCCATAGCAGTCACTGGCCCTGCACTGACTCTGAGCTGGCCCCCATCCCTGAAGGCACAGCAGTCTTAATGGGATTAAGGAAACCATGACTGGCAGGGCTTCCTTGGGATGACTTCCCAGCACAAATGTTCTGCCTCCCTGGATCCAGCCCAGAGACTTGCCTTGGGATAGGACACGAGTGAAAGGCAAACCAAAGGCCATAAACCACTTCTCTTTATTTCCTATAAATGCTGGAGTGTCTGTTATTCTGCATAGTTGGGTGCTTCAAGCAAATTATCCTTTTTCAGGATGACTGAAGCTGAATTTCTATTTATTTTTGTTTATGCATCTCTGTTAAACCAGGATCATATCCTCAACCCCCAAAGTGGAGCAGGCCCCCTCTGCCATCATGCTTAGCCTAGTCACCAGCCTGAGGCTTACCTAGCCACCGGATCTTCCCTTTGCCTTGCTCCTGGAGAGTAGAAGTTTGATATTCTCTTACATCTGACTCCCGACATCACTTCTCTGTATTGACTGTGGGGCTCTTTTTTGGCTTGGATTTTCTCTTTCTTAAGGTGAGTAGTTCTTTACCTTTCAGAAGTCATAGATCCCTGGACCATCTCTCAACAAAACTGGCCATGTAAAATTTTACAATTGCATGGAGTACGAGGATTCCTCAAATCTTATCTATGGGCTATGGATTGCAGCTTAAGCAGTCCTAAAATTGGTCTTGCTTTCTTTATTTACAGACCATGTGGGACCACAGAAAGAAGAAAACAGTCATACAGGGGACCTCACTTCCTGCCTTTCCCAGCTGATGTTGTTGGTATGAGTTTCCTGTTCCTGCTATAGTACATTACTGACAAACATGGTGGTTGGAAACAATACAAGATTATTGTCTTATAGTTTGGGGGTTAGAGATCCTAAAATCATATCAGCAGGGTTGCATTCCTTCTGGAGGCTCTAAGGGAGAACCCGTTCCTCTGCCTTTGCTGGCTACTGTAGGCTGCCAGTACTCCTTGGCTTGTGGCCCCTTCCTCCAACCTACCAGACAGCAGTGCAGCATCTTCAAATCTCTGTCTGTGAGCTCTGGTTCCTTTGTTACATCTCCCTTTCAGACTCTGACTTTCTTGTCTCCTTCTTTCCCTTAAAAGGGCTCTTTTGATTAAATGGGCTCCTCAGGATGATTTCCCACCTCAAGATCCTTAACTGAATTACATCTTCAAAGTTCCTTTTGCCATAAAAGGTCACAAATTCATAGGTTTCAGGGATTAAAACATGAACTTCTTTGGGAGGCTACTATTTTGTCTGCTGTACTATCCTTAAGCCTCTCCTCCTGGGAGGTCTCTCTTTAGACCACTCAAAATCCACATCACAGGAGGCTGAATCTCTTCCCCACTCAGGCCTCTTTTTCTCTCTCAGGAATTGCTTCTTGCCCTGGGGAATGACAACTCCCTACTTCCCACCCTTGGACACTCCCCTTCCTACAGGGGTGAAGGCCTTTGCCTATGGTTAACTATAGAAAGACAAATGGCAAGGCCAACATCTGATCAGCACAAACACACACCTGGCAAATGGTGCGTCTTTCCTATCATCAGCTAAGATCTTAGCAACAGAGGAAAGAGAAAGGATTGGTTATTCTGTATTTACTGTGTGTCAGCTCTCTCATTGGCAGAGACGATTTCTTGGGGTCCCATCCGGGAAGAGGGGTTGGAGAACAATGCTGACATGACCATACGATTCTTCTCCTCATCACTGCAACTTCTTTTCCCTGCATGACTTTAAGTCTTTTGCCTGCCTGATTCAGTGATCACAGAACCAGAGCTGTAACTGGATGCCAGAGCAGGGATAAACCCTAAGCAAGAAACTGTAACTACACTGTTGAACTTTTATGTTAAAATTTCCAAGTGCGTGTTGGGGTAGACTGTGCTTTCAGCCCATCTGGCAAACTTAGTCTTGATGATGAATACAGATATATTACTGCCCAGTAGTTAAAATAGCCCACTAGTTCTGTATGTGTGTAAATTCACCTTACTAAAAGGAAGTGAATTGAGACAGGCACCTGCTAGACCAGTATTGATATCAGCAGTGTGTATCAGCACAGTGCCCAAACCAACAGCCTTTCCAAAGAGAGAGACGTTTGTATAAAAACCAATGATGGGCCAGGTGCTGTGGCTCATGCTTGCAATCCCAGCACTTTGAGAGGCTTAAGTGGCAGGATCCCTTGAACCCAGGAGGTTGTGACAGCCTCAATCTACAGAGACCAATGATAAATGGATAGAAGGAAGAATAGTAGCTGAGGGTAAATGAATGAATAGGTAGGTTGTGCAGCAAGGGAATTCCAATATTACAATGGTGCCTTGATAGAGATGATATTGTCTTTTAGCATCATACAAATGCCTGAGAGGATGAAGTCATGTGTTGCAAAGACCACTCCTGCTTTTGGGAACATGACAGAGCTGGATGGAAACCTGCAAACCTAAGTGGGTGGCATTGTTCTGGGTGACATTTTGGTCATATAATAGGATCATGATCTGGATCAAATTGATAATGACTGAGTCAGATTCTACTAATGTGCCTGTATCTTTTGACTGACTTTTCAGGTTACGTTTGCAACTGTACTGCGATATGGTGTAGCACTGGCATAAGATTCAGTCCCCTATGTGAATAAGTCTAATGATGGTACTGCTGTTGATGATTGAATGTATTAGGAAATTAAGTGAAAGCCTCCTCAGGATATTATACTGATGGAAAATTATTGGCCTGAGGAAACACTAGATTTAGTGAATCATCATCTAATTGCCTGAGCAACAGAGATCCTGCCAGCTTCTTTGTTCTTGGTCCTCTTCTGGGCTTGAGCGGAAGAAGTTGTCCATAAAAGAAACTCCTGATTTACAGACCGTCTCCCCACACTCAATCAGGGCCAACATTCCTCAGCACCGTGGCCACATGTGTGCTTGGCTGGCCAAATGTCCATCCAGACAGCAGGGATGGTGGCTCTGGGGTGCTGCAAAACCAGCCACTCGGTGGCCTGAAATGTCCTCCTGCTTCCTCGCCATCCATCTGTGTCTAAGATATCCAAATGTTCCTACCCAGCCCAATGCTCATCTTGTCCAGGAAGCCATGCTAGCCCTCACTGTTTCCTCCATCAAATCTAATCACCATGCACATCACTCATCTGGCTCCTGCTTAACTGCCTCCCACATCTCTGGCTAATCTTTTCCATGGTACATGGAAAGGGCCAGCCAGGGCTTTGGAGTTAGTCACACCTCAGTCCAAATTCCCGCTGTACCTTGTATCAATTTGTTAAGACTACCGTAACAAAGTGCCACAGACTGGGAGGCTTACGCAAGAGATATTTATTTTCTCACAGGTCTGGAGGCTAGATGTCCAAGATCAAGGTGTTGGCAGGGGTGACTTCATCCTGGCCTCCTGGCCTCTCCATCTCCTTGCCTTGTAGCTGGCCCCCTTCTCCACATGCCTTCATATGGTCATCCCTCTGTACGCCTGTGCCCAGCCTTCTCTTCTTGTAAGGACACCAGTCATACTGGATTAGGACCTACCTTACAAACCCCATTTTAACATAATGATCTCTATAAAGACCCTGTACATTCTAAGGTACTAGGGATTATGACTCCAACATATGAATTTTAGAGGGAGATACAAATTCAATCCCTGATATACCTTTAGTTGGGGCAGCGGTTTGTAACCTGAGGTTAATGCTACCTCATCTATAAAATGGACATCTTAGACACAGATGGATGGCGAGGAAGCAGGAGGACATTTCAGGCCACCAAGTGGCTGGTTTTGCAGCACCCCAGAGCCACCATCCCTGCTGTCTGGATGGACATTTGGCCAGCCAAGCACACATGTGGCCACGGTGCTGAGGAATGTTGGCCCTGATTGAGTGTGGGGAGACAGTCTGTAAATCAGGAGTTTCTTTTATGGACAACTTCTTCCACTCAAGCCCAGAAGAGGACCAAGAACAAAGAAGCTGGCAGGATCTTATATTTATTAAGAGGCAAAGAGTGTGAGACCAGGAGGCTCTGGCACAAAAAAGGACAGTTAGCCCTAGAATTGGACCCTGGAAAAAGAAAGCTGACAACAAACCAACCACAGGGTTGCACTGAGCATGGGAATAAAGGAGGGGAGGGGTCCCCAGTCTGACACACAATGTATCAAATATAATAAGTCCTGGGAGGCCAATCAAATCCCCTGTCACCCCAACCCCACACTATGCCAAATAGTAAAAGCAGATGTTTTCCAAACTGGTGACAACTCCGAAGGCTTTTCTGGTGATGGGCAAGAGAGGCAGAGACTGCTGGGGAGTTGGGGGGAGCAGAGAGAAGGCTTTTGGGAGTGGTCCAAATGTTAGTGCACCAGAAACCTCATTCCAAGCTTCTCCAGCAATACAAAAAGAGGGATTCAATTTAGTTTGGGCATGGAGAGAAGATCTATTGTAACATGGAAGAAATTCAAACACGATAGGAGAACAAAGTAACATTTCAAATTGCTGTGATTGATACAGCCCCATTGCCTGACCCATTTCTTTCAAATACCAAACTGACAGGGCCAGTTGCAATACTTCACAGTGTGGGGATGGGGTATGGAGGAGAAGATACTCGTTACGCCTTTGGAAATTTAGTCTCCTCACGGTTCATCCTGAACCTTTGGCTTTCCTCTCCATGGCAGGAGAAACCACTCCTGGCTTCCAGAGCATTCTTAGTGAAGGTGATCATTAGGGGTGGCACAAGCCTCCAAAGCAGCCCCGGTGTGGTCTCCAGCCTAAAGGCAGCACCCGAAGAGCCGGCTATGTTTGTTCCAGCTGGTGACCTTGCAGGAAGATGATGACACATTGTGCCCTGCCCAAGACCTTCTTCAAGTAAAAGAGAGTCTAAGGCTTTGAAAAACACTAGAATAGGAGCCAGGTGGCTCAAGTCTAGGCTTTAGACAATTCATGAATCCTCTCTGCTTTGTTTTCCTGATTTCTCAAATGGAGAAGACGTTACAAGAGTTCTGTGTTCTTTATAGAGTTTCTCATTCCATCATAGATTCCACCCACATACCTTGTGGTACAGCAGAGAACACTGCAAAGTCCCTGCTTGCATGAGCATGTCTTTGATGGAGTGGCTGGTGGGGAACAAATGCTTTGCATAGTTTTGGTGAGGAGAGCATAAGGTTGCAACTCTGGAGCATAGCTGAACTGAGTAGGGGCATGATGTGCCCATGCATGGTGCTGCCGTGATGTCATTGGAGAGCCACTCAATGAGGAAATCCTTCGAATCCTGGTGTGCAGAAATGAACTTGATGGAATACCCTCTAACGGCGAGGAAGAACAAGCAAAAATAAGATGATCGTACCAGTTTTGTTGTGAAATCTATGGTGATGGTATTTTATGGAAACAATCTGGGCATGTGCAAAGTGTTTCATCTTTAATGGTTTAAAACCATTGCTCTTCCAGCCATGTTCTCATGTAGGACTGTCATCCTAATGCATGCATTGAGAGCTGGGCTCAAATCTCTATTTTGTCATTCTTATTGATGGGAAGGGAAATGACATTTTTTGGTTAAATTCCATGATAACACAAAAATCAAGACTTTTTCTTATGTAATGTCACCTAATTCTCATCTAACTCTACAAGGTAGATACTGGTCTACAACTTTATGGATGAGGGATATTCAATCATTTATCTAGAATTTTGCAGTTACTAAGTGGTAGAGTTGACATGTAAATTTTAAAGCTTTTGAGTATTCCTTTTAAACTCATCATTCATTTGAGGTGATGAGAACGAGAATCAATAGTGATCCAGGGTGAATAAATTTTTCATCTCTTATTATTTCTGGTTTGATGGTGTCTTTTTTGTCATCATTGAGACCTTGCATTCATTTAAGTTGATTTCTGTATTCCAGGTTACTAGATTCTAGAAAACTGCCTTAATGACTCACCTAGAATTATCTCAAGACAGGCAGAATGGTATTGTTCTGTTTAAGCATCAAGTTAATTAAAACAATGACCCCCTTCTTGGTCAATGCTGACCTTATTGTTGTCAAAATAATAATCTAAGAGTTCTGAGAAAGGGGATGCATGGTAAGGGTGAGAAAAAATGCCAGGCCAGGTCTCATTGCTTTTTGTTGACTAAAATTACTAAACTCATAGGAATTTATATAAATGAGGACTATTATAGATAAAATATATATGCATTTCAGGAAGTTGTTGACTGAATCTCTTAGAACCATAACTGCATATTGAGAAAATAAAAGTTCTTAATTCCAAAGTTAAATAGCTTCCTTTAATACTAATATCTTTAACTCTATGTTTTATTTATTGAAAAATTTCTTTAAAATAGTTGATCATTTTGATTATAACATATTATTAGATCTCTCAGTGACTTTCTATGTAACTTATTTCAATTAGATTGTTGCCTCACAACTTGACTACTAACATTGTGTATATGACCAATGACCAATGGCCAAAACAATAAAATATTTCCAGACTCATTCCTTTGACCTTCTTCATCAGTAGTTGACACTGATGATGAACTCATACTTCTTAAAATTTTATGTTGCTCCCAAAGGCCTAACCACTCCTGTGTCACCTGGGTAACTCCTGGCAATCCTCTTTGCATGGCTCCAACATACACGGGTTGTGGTTACCACAATTTAGTTAAATAACACCAATCCCTATAACATGATAACATGACTCAATAACATGATTCAAATTTTAGCTCCTTAAACATATTAGCTGTGACTGATTGCATAAAATACAAACATTATTGTTACTTCTTCATTCCACAAATTATTACATAAAAAGCAGATATGACCATGATTAGAAATGCATACCATTTCTTTCAAAGTCTAATGTGATTGGTCACTGCACAGACAGCAAAGCAAGTAGTTGTGTTGCCACCTTGTTTTCCAATGATAAACTTATATGGTATTTGATTAAAAATAGATACTCAAAAGAGGAAATTGGCCAACAAAGACAAAAGTGCAGCAAAAAAAAAAAAACACCAAAATGTGAAAATATGGAAATGAAATTTTACTTAAATGTAAATCGGATTAAAGAAAAAAAAAATAGCTGACCAGTGGGATGTGGACACTGAGGCTTTGCAAGACACTTTAAAAGTGCAACCAGAGGAACTTAGTGAAGACTTACTGTCATACATGAAGAAAGTGGCTGTTAAAAAAAGGATAAAGATGTCCCAGAGGAATTGACATAAGCAAAGAGCTTCACATTTAAGGAACCCTCTGAGGTATTTCACAACACGGAAGGCACAAAGGATAAAGTGTTGGAAACTGATCCAAACTGAAAGAAATATGAAAATTCATCAAGGCTCAGAAAAGATGATCCTCTGTATCAAGTCATATCACTAGAAGAAGGCAAACACTCTCAGTAAGATTTTATTTTTACAGTGCAATGAAAGCACTTTAATGCTTCAAATGTACAACTTACAGTGTTTTAAGTATTATACAACTTATTTTCATTTTTCTATACAGTTATAGCTGACAGTAAAGAATTTTTAATGTTTTGATAAAATGTTCAATGGTTTTGAAACAAATGTAATTTTTCCCCATTGATTACTAAGTTTGTTTTGCATGATTTCAGCTTTCAAGTCATCTGCATAGCCCTGTGCTACTGTGCAAAGGACTACCTGTATTAGGCATTTTCAAGTTAGCATAACTGTAATTTTACACATTACATTAACCCCAACCTGTCTCTTTCTCCTGCATTCTTGAGTCCAATTATAGTGACTGGGACAAAATGAGTGGCCAATAAATGTGCCCCTCCAGTTTAAGCCATCAC